AAAGAAAACATCTTTACTGGACTCCTTGTGTGCTCACTGTCTTGATTTAATGTTTGAAAAATTGGGACAATTGTCACAACATAAATCTACTTTGCGTAAAGCAAAGGCAATAAGTAAATTTATTTACAAACATTCTTGGGTATTAAGCTTGATGAGAAAATTCACTCATAAAGAACTTATCCGATCAATCGTTACAAGATTTTCCACGACTTATTTAATTTCAAAATGATTTAATGAGCTATGTCCATCTTTGGAGGCTACGTTTGCTTCTGTAAGAGATAAAAGTACTTGGAAAAAAAAGACAGAAGAAAAACAAGTGAAGAATATTGCTAAGAGAGATAATTTATTTTGGCGTAGTGTTTGTTGTGCTCTAAAGACTATAACTCCTCTAGTAAAAGTATTACAATTGATTGATGGTGAGAGAGCTCCTTTTATAGGATTTATATATGAAGCTATGAACAAATAAATGAGGAAATAGTAAAGATTTAGGAGGACAAGAAATAACTTACAAAGAAATACGGGAAATCGTTGATGACAAATAGGATTGTCGGCTCCAACATTTACATGTTGCATATTATTTGAATCCTCAATTTCATTATGACAAGGATTTCAAGTGGATAAAGAGGTTAAGACCGGTTCATATGCATGCATAGATATAATTGTCCCTGAGTCTACTTGAAGATTTTCTTTTGAAGAATGAAATGTTTGGATTTAGAGCAGCTCAAGTCTGCTACAAGGCATGCTCACCTAGTAAATTTCATTTATCAATAATTTTAAATCTATGAGTTTATCATTTACAAACAAAATTATATCTTAATAAGTTAATCTATATTGCTACTTTTATTTAATTTTAATGCTAGAATTTTGGTGGGCATAATTCGGAGATGATGTGCATAAACTCAAAACATTGTTATAAAAGTTCTAAGTCTTGTTGAGCTTTCACATGTGTATTCGACTAACTGCATACAATCCTAATAAATCAATTAACTACAGTTTGAATGAACAAGTTAGTTCATGTTATGTTCAATAAAGGTTTGAAAAACTGACACTTGAAGCTACAACAACATAGAAATGGTGGTGATAAAACGAATCATTTTGTGATTGATGATATTATGTTTGATGATGAATGAATAACGCTTAAGAATGTTGAAAGATTTGAAATCGAAGATAAAGAGATTACTTTTAATGATGATGATAATGAATATAACAGTGTTAACATAGAAAGGGATCAAAGAGATTGAATTTGGAGCAACTTCTACTTTACAATCATTTTAAAGGAAGAAGTAAAGTGGGATTGGAGCTTAAAAAAATATAAAGGTAATTCCATAATTAAAGTATAGTTCATTACATAATTGTGTTACTAATTATCTTGACTTCAATGTTAATTGATGTTGGGAGTAAAATGAATGATGTAGCAATCGAAGAAAAATTTGAAGATGATAACACAGAATTCGAGAATGATAATGTTATTACATATGATGATTCTTTTGAAGATAATAAAAATAATGATGATACTGCTGCACATCCTTATTCTTGTGGCATATTTAAATTTTAAGTGCAATATTTAAATCTTCAATTTTTTGTAAATTTGCTTTATATTTGTGATTTGAAAATACCATATGCAGGTGTTATTAAGTGGACTGGTGAAGTCTAATGGCATGTTTATATTCTAAATTTAATGATCAAGATTTATGATTTGTCAAATTTCATATTTATAAATTTTGTTTAAATTTATGAGTTTTTAATTTTTTATTTTGAGGCTTATGCCTCATCTCACAAAGAAAAAACACATTAATTCCCAATTTTGCCTTTTAACAACTTAGATTTTGGTAGCTATAGGATGGAACAAGAGTTGCTCTAGCTTTGATATCAAATGGTACTTGACTTTAACAAACATCAAAGGGAAAATCAAATATTATTGTTGAATTCAAATCAGAAATTACATCAAACAACAGTAGAAATATGAAATTGCTACAAAACAACGACACGATGCTCGAATTAGAGTTGACTCTAGGATGGAGGTAATGCCAGCTAGGGGGTTGGACCTCTGGGGAGATGACATGGGGTCAACAAGCAGGATGGAAAGGGTGGGAGCGACTAGGGAATATGGCTGCAGCAAAGGGGAGGTGGCGAATAGTACAAACAATTTTGGAGATGGCGACAACAAGGAAAACAAGGGGAAAAATAACAAGTTTGTTGTTTTCTGGGCGGTGACAATAAGAGGAAAGTAGCAATGGTGAAGGGAGTCGATGCAAGAAAAGATGGGGAAATATATAAAATGGATAAAAACCACGAGACCAAGAAACAACCATATATATATTGAAAGCCCAAATGCTAATATATTAAAAAGAAATAAGGATACATATAGATTTTGTGGAAGAGTCCAAGCATGACACGCTTTCCCCCGATAACCTACACATACAAATGGTTCCAATAAAGAGGAAATACAGAAAATTATATGAGAGACCTAAAGAAAAAAAATGTCAAAATAAGTAGTATCAAGTAGTTATAGAGCGACCCAATTTTGCTTTGTCTCTGCCCCTAGTTCTAGGAATGGAGCCAGCTAATAAATTGGTAAGATGAGTGTCATTGTCAGTAGTGACCAAAGTATCATCCAATAAGTTCCAGAGCTCGAGTCAGCCTCCAGTCTTTTTCTTCCTCCTGGAATAGACCTCAGTGTCATTGTCAGTAGTGACCAAAGTATCATCCAAAAAGTTTCGGAGCTCGAGTCAGCCTCCAGTCTTTTACTTCCTCCTGGAATAGACCTCTTATTCCTCATCCGAAGATTTGCTCGCCTGATCAGTGGGTTGGTCTAAAGTGTGTCGGATATGTGTAGAATGTTGAACATTAGAAATAACTGATTGTTTTACCAGCTGATCTTTTATTGGATTAAAGGAGCACTCTCATGTGTCTTGGCATGTAAGCGAGCCTTCTTCAATAACAGTTAGTGGTATAAACATATTTGGATTTCTCATGTTTCTTGGCATGTAAGCGAGTCTTCTTCAATAACAGTGAGTGGTATAAACATATTTGGATCGCTCTTCATCAGAAGCTGCGATGTTGGGTAGAGGATTGGGTTGCAACTTCTCAGCAAGGATGGTAGGTGGTTAGAAGCTGCGATGTTGGGTAGAGGATCGGGTTGCACCTTCTCATCAAGGATGGTAGGTGGTTGATCTTTAGCGATATTAGGCCTTAGATGAGGATGCAAGCGATAACAAACAGTAGAATTGTGACCAAATATATTACAATGAGAGCAATAAGGAGGGTGTGATTCTATTTCAACATTTTGCAAATATATGTTGTGATTGGTTCCAATCCATACCTCATCCGGAGCTGGTTGAGTGATATCTCTCTCAACTAACACACAAACCACAGAGGGTCTGATAACAACAAGCGTAGGACTATCAACTTTGAGAGGCTTATCGTAAGCAGTTGCTAAGGAGTAGAAAATTTCTAAGTTGAACAGATGTAATTTTAACCACAGAAACTTTATTCAAATAGGAATGATAGGGGACTATCAAATAGGAATGATAAGGGACTCCGCTTTTGGATCAAAATCGACAGTCCATTGCAGAATTTTCATAAAACGGTTGTCAATCTTGATAACTTTTCGAGAAAATATGCGAGTGTAATCGACATCATGAGATAGTTAAATAAGTATATGTCAACCGTCAAGTAATAATAGCTTCATGGCCTCAAAATCTTTTTTAATGATCTCAAGTTGTGGGTTTCCATGAAAGAATTTTCCCACTAGAGCAGAGCTCCAAGAAGACGCGAGAGTATTGAAAGACGCGAGAGTACTGGTTTCAACTTCAGTGAGAATAAGAGCAGACTTCTCATTTTTTTTACTAAGTTTTTTAATAAAAGTGTGATCCACATCACCTTCAAGATCCTTGTGAAAGGATTGTGAAACATTGCAGGACTTGCCAATACGAAAACTAGGCCCCGAACTCATTGTGAAACATTGCAAGACTTGCCAATACGAAAACTAGGCCCCGAACTTGCAGACACAACACCTGCATAACTTCGCTCCATCCGATGGGCAGCACCTGCATAACTTCGCTCCATCCGAGTGCAGCAGACAGTGTAATCGAAAGTCACTGTGCAGTGCAAGAATAAGAGCAGACTTCTCATTTTTTTTACTAAGTTTTTTAATAAAAGTGTGATCCACATCACCTTCAAGATCCTTGTGAAAGGATTGTGAAACATTGCAAGACTTGCCAATACGAAAACTAGGCCCCGAACTTGCAGACACAACACCTGCATAACTTCGCTCCATCCGATGGGCAGCACCTGCATAACTTCGCTCCATCCGAGTGCCCATCCGAGTGCAGCAGACAGTGTAACCGAAAGTCACTGTGCAGTGCGAAGTAGGAAACCGAGCTGTTCGCAGAGAAGATGAAAGAAGCGACAAAAACAAAATTGCAGTAGCTGTCGAGCAGCAACAGTCGCAGTAGCTGTCAAGCAAAAGTCGCGACCTTTGCCAGACACGAAGACGACGAACGACGCAGCCCGACAAACGCGAGGTCGCGAAGCTCCGCCAAACACGACGACGACACACAAAAGGTAAATCACATGTACCATCACGAAAATCCTTATACCGGAAGACAACTGCGGATTCTACTGGAGGGTACCCGCCACGTGGGCAAATGAGATTTTGTCCGGTTCAACCAAAGAAGAAGGAAGTGCCATCAGGGTAGGGAGATCAGTCGGCGTTCACCTGCTGTGAGACGAAATGAAGATGTCGGGCAGGGAGAGGCGTATAATTTTTGCAGTAAGCTTGAATCCAAATGAATCAACCAATTAAAAATGTATGATAAGATGCGCATGGGAAGATTTACCAACCATTGAGGTACAAACAAAACACATTATTTAAGCAAATATGATGAAAATGAGCAGCAGCAGTTGTGAAAAGGGGTCCACAGAGGCATCAGACTTAAACTTTGGGAAGTAAATAGTTTTTTGAGTATTTCGGATAACAGACATAACAGACTAGATTTAATAAGCATAATAAGGATGAGTACTTGTACTAGACCTCATGGGTTTCAGAAGCAGAATGGCAATAATAATTTGGTGAATCTCATGCATTCAGTAGTCCCAAAGCAGAAGATCGACGGCATTCTGTCAACATGTCTAAATTGAACTGGCACTTGCTGATGTCGCTCCCATAGTTATTGATGCAGTCCTGGAAGGGCTTTGAATGAACACTGCATGCATCAACACCACCAGCATTTCCCACTGGAATGGATGCAGCTTCAGGAACTTGAGAAGCTACAGTTTCATGCTGAATAGTTCGAGGACCAAAATTAGAATCCACCGCCCGATGAGCAACAGCGCTCCCCGTGCCAAAAGCCATGCCTGTGCAAATTTTAAGAGTTAAGATAAATAAGGTATGTTATAATTAAAATAACATAGCATCACATCAACCAGTATCATATAAAATGCCTATTTATGTCTGGCCCTACCTTGAGCTATAGTAGAGCCAATCCCTCCAAGCATAGATCCACCACCGTGGAGCGGAGCTGGAGATATATATATATATATATATATATATTAAAAAGCATTTCTTTAAAAACGCCACAAATAAAGTATAGGCTTTGAAATACATTCATATCCATAAAAATACAAATAATCATATAAGACAACAATTTCTTCACCCCACCCTGAATTTTTTTTTTTTTTCAGGGTGGGTTGAACTCCTTGCCTTCCCCTTTGAAGGACAAAGGCAATACCACTTAACTCAGAAGTTGGTGGTAGTATATTTCTTGATCCTGCTTGCAAGACCATCAAAATGAGAGAGACCTCTTTCCTAAAATATGCACTGAATCATTATTCTACAGTTACCTTGTAACACAGATATGTGAATGCTAATGCTGCAGTTATGTAAGGTGAGTAGATCTGTGTATTTTTGAGGCCCATCCTGTCAGGAAAATTCCTGTTTGTGATAGAGATGCATACCTGAGGTTAATTGCTGTGAGTATTTCCTCAAGGGCTATGCAAGCAAACAGCAGAACTAGGATGGACACAAAAATCAAAGCTAGCTTCCCCAAAGATCTGGGAATAAGTCTTTCCACCTGAACCTGAAACTTGAAATCAATATCCATATCCTTCCAGGCCTCATGGGTGGCCTGGAAGAGATACATGGGAATTTCACACTTCATTACCTCTGCAGCTGAAGGTTCCAACTTAGAGACATCAAATCTATAATCCTGAATAAGCCAAAAATTCAGGATTCACAAGCTGTCATCTTTATCAATGTATACAGGTTCATTTTCCAAAGAGGTTTTATCATCAATATAATTGAATGAAAATTCATATGCAGGGCCAGCCCCATTTCTTCCATCAGTTTCAGTGACCATGTTGCAATCTTCCATCATATGGCCGCCGGATTGCGCCCAATCTACCGAAAATTTCATTCCATGATTGCTCCCTCTTTTATGAATACCGCATATACGGAATTCTATAGAGAAAAACCGACCATTGATCATCTCTGGAAAGCCCTTTTTTTCAGATAAAGATAGAAAAAAGCTTTTTCATCCCCAGAACTATATAATCCTAGGTAACTAGGACTGGTCCCTCTTTTGAAAAGTGTTGACACCACCCTTGCGAGAGTCGGCATGCCCTCAGAAGCCCTAGAACGAACCGGTCCAAGCAGCAAGTGGTGCCCGCGATATTTCTGGATTGAACTGGTCCATGCAACAAGGCAGATGACAACCATATCACATTGCTTGTTTAGTTAGCATTATATATCAGTTCTTGTCTTTTACCACAGTTCATCATTGGCCAGCTTTGGAACAAATACTATGTTACCTTCAAATGAGCTCTTAGACAAGATATTCTTATCAGAACCATGGACATAAAAATAATGAATGTTTACTGAGGCAGAGTTTGCAAATTCCAAGATTGATCGGAGTTCCATTATTGCATAATGTTTTTATTGGTGGCTATTTGGTCTCATGGAAGAGTAAGAAATAGAATGCAGTGTCACAATCCATTGCAAAATGTGAGTATTGAGAAATGTCATATGTTTTGGATGAATGATGTGTATCTCACATTTTTTATTCAATATGGATTTTAAGATGGCAATTACAACAAAGTTATTGTGTGATAACTAAGCAGCAATTTATATTACCTTAAACCATGTCTTCCATGAATGAACTAAGCATATTGAGATAGCGATACTAGAGTTAACCCAAACATTCAATAGGAAAACTAAATATTATTACTGAAAGTAAATAGACGGTTACAACCAAGATACTTGAAAGGGAAAATACAGTGACACAACATTCAAAAATTTAAAATAGCAATAGAAATGACACAAACACTCAAGCTAGGGTGGATTTTTGGTGGTGGTGGTTATCGACGAGGGTTTGGAAGGAGGTGGCTTGGTGGACGAGGTGGTTGACAAGCTTAAAACAGTAAGGCAATGGTTTCTCAGGTTGCGGACAGCAAGTATGCGATAGATATTGACTTAGAAAGGCTTTTCTGGATGATGGCAGACAAGGGGGAGGGCTGGACCAGCAGTAGCATTGAGGATAGATGGTTGGAACAACAATCGCAGCAGATATGGAGGACTGGAACAACAGTAGCAGCAAATGGGAAGGGCTGGAACAACAGTGCCAGCCAAAAGGGAGGGTTGAACAGTGATGGCAGAGAGGATGGAGAGCTGCAACGGTGATGTGGGATGCTGTGGACTACCAGGCAGCCAAAGGAAGGTTATCCTGGGAGGGGGCAGCGAGGAAAAGGGCTGGGCGATGAGGAAACTGCAGGAAAACAACAGAGCTGTTGTAGGGGCGTCCTGCAGCGAGGAGGATTGTGTGGCAGAAGCGAGAGAGATCGGAGGGGTTGGACAAGGATAAACATTACTTTGAGATCAAGATAAAATCGAAGCACCACCTAAAACTCTAGGATGTAGACTTCGAAGGGAAGAAGAGATGTTGGTAGCTGTCCCTATACACAACACACAAAAAACCTAACTCTGGACCCTTACGAAAGTAAAAATATTATATGAGGATAACTAGGAGTGACTCAAGAGTACCGACCGACTTTTCATAAGTAAACTTGGACCGAACTGGTCCAGGAAAAAATGCGAGACATGTTTTCGGTTACTGTAAGTACTGCGTACGGGTCATTGTTCCATGTCTGCTTAGACACTGAATACCTCACGTCAGATAGATTGTCATTTTGTTCATGATATTATTCAATAGAGTTCGATTTCTACAACTCAATTAAAGACCGAGCAACAACTAGAGGACATCTTCACAAAGGTCCTTAATAAAGGTAGGGTGACTTGTATTTATAACAAGTTGGGCATGATAAATATCTATTCTTCTGCTTGAGCAGTAATGCTTGTATATTATGAAGCTTGATATTAGGTAATCTAACTAGAAGAGATCTAATCATGTAACATTTTCTATATTAGTGATATTCCTACTTTATAGAGATAAAAATGTATATAAATATGTAACATATGTTTTCAATTGAAAAAGATAGAGAGAGTTGCTTCCCTTTTCATTAACAAAGTATTTTAATTAGTAGAAAGAATTATTTTGCCTTTTCTGGCGGCCATATATGCCATTTTCTCTGGGAGAAGTATGCAATCATACATACTTTTTTTGTAATGCAATCTCAGGGTGCATTATCATTTAACTTTCCAGCTGCATTAATTAAATTTCTATATATTTTGCCAAATTTTACTAATTGCTTATTTAATTATCTATTTGTTTTTCGTTTTTTTCTTTTATTTTATTATTTTTTTATTTTATATCTTACCTGCTGCCAGGATTTCTTTGGGAAACCTGCATTTTTGACAGTATCAGGCCAACTCAATGCTGAAACATATGCATCTGCTCTTTCAGATGTATGACCTGTTTTTTCTACCGAACTTTTTTGAAATTTATTTTGGCTTATTTCATGTTAAATTAAAATGTGCTGACTGATTTCAGGTCTACACGTTTGGTCCTACTTTTAGGGCAGAAAATTCAAACACTTCAAGGCATCTGGCTGAATTTTGGGTAAATATCTTTCACTGATATAAATTGCTTTCTATGGCAGTTTCATAACATTTCTATGGCTTTGATTGGCTTAAGCAGATGATTGAACCTGAACTTGCTTTTGCTGATTTGAATGATAACATGGCATGTGCAACTGCGTATCTCCAGTATGTAGTAGGTTTCTTATTGACTATGTATTTTTTCTATCATCTATTGTAATGCCGTTATTTTCAGTGCATGAGTTGTTATTAAGACTCAACCATAAACTGCTAATAGGACGTATAAGATCCATGGAGACACAAACATTGAAAGTTTTAACAAGAGATAAGAGAAATATATGGGAAATGTTCAAATTTATAATAATGGCTAAAGAGCTAAAATTAGTACAGAAATCCATATTTTCAAAATTTTGTAAATTTTATTTACATTTTTGAACAAACCTCTCAGCATCAAAAAATTATCACCAGGAGAGAGCTTTGAGGAAAAATATCAATCAAAGGGCTTTTTTTCCAAGCTATCAAAGTTCTGTGACATTCGACGGTGCCTAAGATTACACTTAATGTTTCTTTGACAGGTAAAGTATGTCCTTGAGAACTGCAAAGAAGATATGGATTTTTTTGACAGCTGGATTGAGAAGGGAATTGTCAATAGATTAAGTGTAGACACCTGAACTTATTATTTCTATTTTGGAAGATTCACACGTACTACTCAATTCCTATGTATTTACATATCTAACACTTAAACTTGAATTTTTATGTACATGCCATCTTACCCATGCATGAAAAGGTAAATTTCACTTTTTAAAAGTTAAAATGGTGATATTTTCCATGTGATATGAATGATTTGGGTGGTATAAATTTCAAAAGTAAAGTTTAGATGTTAGCTATGTAAATATATAGGAATTGGGTGGTATGTAGATAATTCAGAGCTCCTTTTGTAATTTTGTTGTCTTGATTTCATGAGGATTTGCATATCGTTCAATTGAAAAATAGTATATAGCATCTTTCGAAAAAAAAATCTCCATATTTTTAATTATCAGAATATTATTTTTTGGCAGGATATAGTGGAAAATGATTTCATTCAATTGACTTATACTGAAGCCGTTGAACTTCTCCTTAAATCTGAAAGGAAATTTGAGTTCCCGGTGAGGCATCTTCCAAAAAGATAATTATGCTGCATTTTTATACCAGATTTGTAGATAATGTGTTTGTAGCCAAGTTAATAGCTTCTGTAGTTGATGCATAATTCCGCTTTCATATCAGTTATAGTTTCTGAAACTGTTTGAGTTTTCATTTTAGATACTCTATAATCCGGCTCAATCACTTGCAATCCTGTAGACAGTAAAATATGTTTGATTGGAGTTTTCTTGAGTTTCAGTTCAATATATTACTGACGGTTAAGCAAACAGAAGAACCATAGGATCCAATTTTGGAACGTCTCAGCGAGTAACATACTCTTTAAAATGCCTTTTGTTTCATCCATCGTAATGTTGTTGTAAAGTCCATAATCTCCATAAGTTTGTTACCTAGGGCTTTATTTCGTGGTGTTTTTTATTCTGATTGTTTTTGAAAAGTCTAGCATGTCAAAATTTTAATTTGTGTGGGAAAGTTTCAGCAGAAGAGCTATACTTTATGTTAAACTCTTTAATACCTTGACAATCATAGTCAAGCACTTGCAGAGCAACTAATTCATTTTTGAGATGGTGTGTTGATTTTATCTTGCACAAAACAGAACAAATTAGAAGTAGCACGCCTCTAACAATTTTTTTTTTTAAATTTAAGTCGTTCTTTTTGGTAAACAATTTTAGATGCTCAATAGGGGATTATCATACAGACCATTCAAAACATTTTATTTTCAATTAACCACCCAGGCAATTTTTTTGCTGAACCGATGTATTTACACATGCCATTATAAAGCTATTGAGAATTTGATAAAAATGAAAAATTTGTTGGGGTTTTACCCTGAAATTTGATATTTGAGCGAGAATATGAAAATTGGATGAAAGAGGGTGGTTGATTTGTAAATAGTAAGTTTCAGGTGGTCTGTATGTAATTGCCCCCCCTTTTTTTAATTTAAATTTTTCTCTCAAGTCTTACCAAAATTTCTTACCTTAGCAGTGTTTTTCTCTGGTAAATCTGTAGCTTGCAGTGCAAGACTCATTCACCAAGTTGATTAAGTAGAAAGAATTCTCCAGCCTCTGTGCTTTTCTTACTTCCAGTACTGATTTTTAATCTCACATCAAACCATTTCAATTCACATAGAAATTTAATTTTGTGAATACACCCAAAAATTACAGTAAGTGAATTATGCACTTCTATGTTGACATTGTATATGGAAATTTCATGTTGTCATGTCAACCCTTTTCTTTTTCCTTGTCTAATTTATTCCCATCTTTGCGTTCTTCTCTTACAACAAGTACGGAAAATTAATGTCTAAAGATTAGGAAGAGAAATGAGTGGAGTGAATGTAATAATGTGGATATAAAAAATTCAAAAATATTTGCTCCAAATTGATATAACACTTTGTGCAGCATTCGCGATGAATGAGTTCATAATGTTGGCCCAGGATGGTTCTCACTTTTGCTTTTAGACAAAATCTATAATTATGTTGTGTAAGAATTGCACAGAAGTTGGTTTGGAGTTTCTATGCTTCAACGTTTCTACGGATAGGATGCGGTTATTTTGGTAGCATACTTTCCTGAATAAACTTTTGAACTCACATGAAGGTAGATTTATGATGTCTCAATATTTAACATTTACTGAAATGCCCAGTTTCACTAGAACAGAAAATTTTCAGAAGTCAACATTAGTTCTAAGCGGTTCATGTTTTACATTGTTGTGCAATTTTACAGGTAAAATGGGGAACAGATTTGCAAAGTGAGCATGAAAGATACATTACCGAAAATGCTTTTGGTGGTCGCCCGGTGATAATTAGAGATTATCCTAAGGTATACCTTCTACTTTTACATTGGCAAGATTTTAAAGAATGTTGCTGCTGCTGCTTATCATGTTTGTTTTAGGATATCAAAGCATTTTATATGAGGCTAAATGATGACGGGAAAACAGTTGCAGCAATGGATGTGTTGGTTCCAAGGGTAAGTCAGAAAGCACAATTTTGCTCTATCGCATGTTCACAATAAAATCATTATATATCTCACTGCCAAGTTTGAGCGAGAAGTCTTTTTTGTTTTCTGCCTATAAATGCTCTAGTGCGTATGTTGATGAGTAGTAATGGAAAAAGAACCAGTATGAAGTTTTCCTAGTTTAAACAATTATCTCGATTTGTAGGATCTTCAAGCACCATTAATGGGCAATTTAAAAATGATTTTGAGGATAGACTAGTGGTAAAAACTTGTTGCTTTGGATAATAACTAAGTTTTCAAGGTCATGGGGAAATTATGGGACATTAGTGGGGGGTTACATCAGAATTTTGAGCGGGTTTAATATTATGGCTTATGTGAACTTTATAGTTTTCTTGTTTCAGGTTGGCGAGCTCATTGGTGGAAGCCAAAGGGAAGAACGCCTTGATCATCTTGATAGACGACTGGAAGAGTTGAATCTCCCAAAAGAGAGTTATTGGTGGTATCTTGACATTCGGCGTTTTGGTTCAGGTTAGGATTCTCTATTGACCCTTTCATTTCTTGTTGTGTATTAGACTTTAGTGTTGTTGCATTGAAAAGAAAGTAATTATACAACTTGTGTAATTTGTGTATGTAGAATATTTTTTGGCTAACATAAATTATACAAGTTATGATAATTTAGAGAAAAACGAGGATTTTCTTATAGTGGTGTGATTTGTAATTGATAAGTAATTTTTCGTTGTCTTATTTTTTATGCAAAAATTTTATTAGTTTATCATTAAATTTATCATTTATGCAATTTTTTTGTTTTTTAGTTTTCATCAAAAGTTAGAAATATTTGTCAAAATTTATGGTCTAAAAGCTTTTAATTTAATCTTGCATTTCATTTTAGATCCACATTAGAACATACTAGACCCTAAGACTTCTTGCATTATAGAGACAGACAATGAAAGAACAGGATATAATAATTGAGCTTGAGAGGCCTAACCCGCACTTTCAACTTTATGTGTTTGATTGTTTCCATCTTACACTGATATAGATACATTTTTATTAGCCAAAGAGAAACCAAAATATTAAGTGTTGTACAAAGAAAGATTACCTAGCTTACCCTCATGTTGAGACCATCATGTTGAACATGGTCAAAGTATACTGAAACTAATTCCAGGAAAGGCTTTTGGTGATTATATCAACATCATCCTAGGATTATATTTGTGAAAGACATTTGAATTTGAATCTATACTTTTCTGCATAAAATTTTGATTTTCTTGCTATATCTTATTGAATGAAATCTGCAGCATGATAAGGGACAAGAACATACTTTTATTGAAGGAGATTGTAATTTTTTTTTCTTTTTTAATGAGATTGAGATTTGGTTTCTTAGTCTTTTGTTTTTTCTCGTACTAGATATTATCAATGAGTTATGCTTTAAAATAGTAATTTATTACCATATCAATTATTGCTGCTAAATTATGGTTAGTGTTGAATTTCTCTCTCTTGTCCGCGGTGGGGCCCCTTAGTCTCCAATTGTAACAAATAAGTTGAGGCATGCGGATTAAGTCCTTAGACCATTGGATCAATTTTTCTATGCCTTCAGTTTGCAATCAGTGTGCTTCCAATTGAGCTTGCAGCTCCTTATTAATTTCCCTTTTTTAATTTGTCTATTATGAAGTACATCTCGAAGATGTATATATACTGCCTTTCTTGTACAAAATAAAAATAATAAAATTCTTAAGAATTATATTTATTCTTTTATTCTTTACATGTTATCTAAGCATTACACCAGCCTTAAAATAGGAACTAAGTGCTATATAGTACAAAGTTTTATGCCATAATGGTCACTTTTTGAACCCCAGTGGGAGCCATGTCTTGAATATTTAGGGGCATCTATGGATGCTTATGGGATATTAATACTAAAAAGGACGCCAGATACTTAAAAGGAAGAGATTGTGAAATAGTTTAAGTAGAGTGATGTTGTACTCTAAAAAATTGAGGTGCCTTTTAGTGTATCGATTGAAATTTTATTAGAAACTTCAAAGTTAAGCGTACTCGTGTGGGAGTACTTCTACGATGGGTCACCTCCTGTGAAGTTACACTAATGAGACAAAATTGTGAGGCCATTAGACTGAAACGGACAATATATTGATGGATGAGAGTTTGAGTTATTACTAATTGTATCAGAGTGAGGTTAGAGTTTTTTTTTCAAAGAATCTCCTTTTCTAAGTTTAGGGTTTTCCACTTTCAACTTTTTTTTGTTAGATCCTCTTATTAATTATATCTGGGTTCTTTGATTCTCTTTCAAAGAAATCAACCATGTTTAATGGTGAAAGTCTAACTAAAGGATAACTTCGAGGATTTCAAACATTTTATCACTTGAATGAGAAAATTATCTTACATGTTCCCAAATTTTGAAGTCGTTTATGAAAGAAAAAAGCAAGATGCAACACCTTATGGATCTAAATTTGGGACCTAAAGACCCAAAGTTCATACTTTGGAAGAAGTTTATTCCTTAATCATGAGATAGTTGTTGTACACCTTGCTACCCGAATTTAGTGGACCATTTATACTTCTTTTTACCACAAAAGAGGTTTGAGATATAGTTAAACAAACTTACTTAAATATGAAAGAAGTTGCACTCTTTTTCGAAATCAAGACAAAACTTGTCATTACCAAACAAAGTAATCTTTTTGTCATTGAATAGTTTAATTCTATGAAGGTTTACTGGTTGGAGTTGGACTATTATCAAGATCTCAAGATGTCATGCTGTGAGAATGCAATGATTCTCAAATAATTTGTGGAGTGGGAACTTTTGAGTTCAAGATAGGACTCAATAAGGATTTTGAACAAATTGGAATCAAAATTCTAAATAGAGAATCTTTCTACTCATATGGGCTAAAGAAAGAAGCATGATGATGATCAATGGCTCAACCCTTAAGGCATCTGCTACGACAACTTCTAAATTTCAAATTTGCGGTATTTTCTGCAACAAAATCTTCTTTAAAAGGGGCATTTTCTTTTAATGATAGAAATTGCTATTAAAAAAAAGGCGCACAAAAGACAAATAATGTAAGTTCCATGATATGCCCTAATACTATGTTTGTTTGGTGTGTTTTCCTACATGTTTTTATTTTTTTTTTTTATTTCTAAAATAAAATAACATATTTTTAAAAGCACTCAAAATAATTTTTAGATGTTTTGAGTACTTTAAAAAACAACCTTATTTTATCTAACCTTATTAAACATATTTTGCTCCAAAGTAAAACATAACCAAAATAAAAAATAAAAGTGATCCCAAACGGCCTTTAATTTGTCGTGTCTTGGTTATTGCTCGACAAAGGTCTTGTGAAGATCCCATGGTTGATTTCGTGAAGACCTTTGGAGGATCTTGTTAAGATTTTTGAGGATACAATCGTTTGTTCGCTCGTGCTTTAGGTATGCATATCCCCATGATATCCTTGCCCATCATGGGCTAAGACAACCAAAATTTTATTTGCTGGTCCTTCTTCCTGATGATCATAATGATTCTTATACTTGTTTGGTGGATGATGCACCTCATTTGTTTAGGTCCGTTCCCAAAACCAGGATCAATCCATTTTCAAGAGATGGTGGTTAATGATTATGTTCTTGCTAGGCTCTTAGTGTTGGCATCTTCCTAAACTATTGATATTGCCACCAATTATCTTCTGCAATTTCTTGAATTTCTTCAACCCTATCCCATATATAAAAATAGGAATAATAACACTTCACAATAGGTTTCTAATTCTAATTGGAGCATTTCAAGCGTTACTCTTCGGTAGATAAAAGATGTCATGTTCCTTATATAAGAAGGGTTAGAAATTAGGAAAGTCTATCATCACTAATCTTTATTTAGGTTCTGTTTGGAGCTGCTGCAACTTATTTAAATGTTGCGCAGTAGAAGGTTGCTGCACATAAGCTGCTGTGGAGAAACTAGTTGTCTGTTTGTTTTCTGCAGTTTTAAAACAGATGCATTGCAGCTATTTTTAAATAAATGATATTTTTGTTTTTGTATTATAGTGTTGTTTATAACAGAACTGTTCATACTAGCACATTCCATACTTGAAAACAAATATTCAGTTTGAACGTTACAAAATAAAAGCAGACATCTCACAAAATTATGAGCAACACAACAATCAAAATTAAAAAAATAATAATTAATAATATGATGATATTGTTTTTAAAATGCACTTAATTTATGTCACGAGATAAATCTTCCTTTAAGGTAACTCGACACGACCGATCACTATCGGCGGTCGATTCCTCCAACCCATCTATCTACTTAAAGAACTCACAACTTTTTGTTATTCTCTAGGTAACTCGACACGACCGATCACCATCGGCGGTCGATTCCTCCAGCCCATCTATCTACTTAAAGAACTCACAAATTTTTGTTATTCTCCTCGGACACTTGTAAAACCATCTCCCACAGATATATGACTGTCGTGGAGTAAGCAAGGAACATTACAGTCCACAGTAGCAGTAAAATGCTTCGGAGGTATTGGAAGACTTCGAGCTCATCTTTTTTAAAAGTTTAAAACAACAAAGCACAAATCCATAGATGCAATATTAGTGGAAAAAAATATTATATTTAATCAATACAGGTTTTATTAAACTGGGAGTCTCATAGAACATAGTATAAAACAACGAATTTGTCACTACAAGAAGACATCAGACCTCCAATAACAAGAACCAATAGTGACATATAGGTCATCCAAAAGAACCCTTATGGTCAAATGTTTCATCATAGACCTTAAATAACCTAAAATAAAACATGCAATAAAAATTTCTATTACATATTATATTCATGGCTGTTTTATTGGTCATCCAAGTTAGGAGGAATATATGCAATAAAATATATTCTATAGGTTTGATCAATTTTCAAAGTGAATCTCTCAGCCCATTATTCTTTTGAAACATCAATTGTTCGCTTAATAGGATCTCAACTCAAACACATGGATCATTGTTTCAATTCTTTATAAATTTTTTAGTCTTTTTTAATTGATCCTATTTGTTTTCCAATTGCATCATATTATATTCCCTTCCTATAATTTTCTTGACTTTTTCATAATATTTTGTTAGCCCTCCTTATTAAAAATATGTTGTGGGCTTATTTCTCAATTCCACCTCCTTAAGGTAGAGGTTGCAGAATGTTAGTATGGCTTATTTATCTCATTTAGCAGATGAACTGATCTTTTTTATTTTAACCATTGTGTTAATAGCATGAAAAGAATTAAACAACATAAATATTTGCCACAAAAATTAATTACCACAACTCAAAGGAAAATAATATTGTCATAATATCATCACCACCACCTTTGCACCACACACCACCACCTCCACACCACACCACACCACACAACACCACCACACTACACCACCTTTGCACCACACACCACCACCTCCACACCCACAACACCACCACACACCACACCACACCACACCACACCACCACCCTACACACCACACACCACCACGTCCACACCGCCTCCACACCACCTTCGCACCACACACCACACACCAC